TCTTTACCAGAAGGAATACAAATGGCCTCATTCCCATCTGGAACCCCATGAGCATGGCTTCACTCTCCACATTCTTGAAAGCATTACAGAGAAGCATACACTTAATCTGTGAAGGCTAAGACAGGGACAAACCTAATGAGATACACACAGGAATTCTTCCTACAATTCTTGCAATATTTTGGCAGGATTGAAACAATATCAAAATTTAAAATGTAAAGGGGAAAGAGGTGACATTCTTATATATAAAGGAAAAGAAAGGCATTGGAACACACATAGTAAAAGGGTGATATAACTTATATCAAAAACCACACTCTATGCCTAGGAAAATGATATTGTATATTGCTATATGCTTCTCTCTGTGTGTAAATGTTGTTTGGAATGATCTGAGAGTAAGATGCCAACATGATACCCCTATATCCCTAAATATTTCAATGTGTTTATCCTACAAACAGGGACAGTTTCTTATATAATCAATGTGAGACCACTTTGGAGTACTATCCTCTTCATTACCCCACATCTTTGATAGTAATTTGTCTTTTATTTTACAAACTTGGGTTGAGATAAGAACAGGAATGTATCAAAGCAATCAGACAAGGGGACCACAACTGTGGGAAAAGAAGGAAAAATCTAATTATAAAGTCACAGAAAAATATGATCCAAACACATGAAATGTGTCACATATATAGAGCAATGTAATTCATAAAGTTTTCTGCTAAAATTATTTGTTCATTTAATCCCATAAATGCATTTGTAGGAACCCATTGTGGGAGTCAACATCCAGATGTATGTCCACCTTTGAGAATACACCTCCAACAATGAACGGGTGCCTTGTGTAACCAGTGGGGTATTGAGAGCACTGTGGAGTAAAATTTCCATGGTCGTACCATAAGACACCCAAGTTTCTGTCTTGCTTCTTGTTTGGCTACTCTCCTAGGAAATACATGTGTTGTGAGCAATCAAGCAGCCCATGAAAATGTCCTATAGGTAAGGGACTAAGGTCTTCTATCCTGGAGAAAAGGACAATTTAGACATAGATACCCAGCACTGGTTTGGACACCTCAATTGCAACCCCAGAAGGTTTTAGCCAGAATTTACCAGCTCTGTCACTCCTAAATTCCCAATCCAAAATAAATGATGAGATGTCTCATTAGTCACAAGACAAGGGGACAATGTTGGGAACAGACAGAGGGACTTGCCCTAAGTACTGCCATTTTTACTTCGGACACCATTTTACCTATAGGGGGTGGAACAGCATTCAAGTTCCCAGACCCTGGTGGAGCTGGGTGCTTTCCAGAACCAGCTCCCTCTTTAGGTAACAATAGTTTCCAAAAAACATAAAGCCTGTTCCTAAACACAAAAAGAACAGATGAATCTGATTGGTTGGTCTGAAAAGTTTCCATTCTGTGTTGATTGACAATGATGAAACACACAAGGAAAGCCCCTAATCTTTGAGTCCTGATTGGTGAAAAATTGTGACTGTGACTTAGCACAGGTTTCTGTGGATTTTGTGCTTATAAACCCTGTTTCAACCCCTACTTGGGGCTGCCAGGAGAAGCAAGGCTCCCGAGTCCGAGTCCTAGAACCCGGATTGATCAGCAACCCTGCTTGTGTGGTGGAATATATTAGAGACTTCACCAGCCCTTGACTGCTCTCTCTCTCTCTCTCTCTCTCTCTCTCTCTCTCTCTCTCTCTCTCTCTCTCTCTCTCTCTCTCTCCCCTTGTGGTGCACAATGAACACAATGTAACAGTTGCTGACCCTGCTTCTAATGGGAAGCATTTTTTTAGTAAGTTACATAGGAAAAAAACTAAAGTCTAATGACTAAAGTTAAATTTGTTAAATCTGTTCTTTCCTCAGAAATTGTGCTAGGAGGAAATATCCTGTAGCCATTAAATACAGTATTCATGAAGAATTTTTAGCCAAATGAACAAAATGGCCATATTATAAAAGCATACAAGCTATGCATATGTTTTGTAAATATAACTTACCTAAAATATATTTACAATTCCATGTGTTTATATATTTATAAAACAGAAGTAAATAAACATGTGCATTTGTAAAAGAAAAGCAATGGCAATAAATACAACAACTAAAAATATTGTCCTTGGTTAGGATGGAAGTGATGTGGGACAGTTATAGTTTGTAATTTTTGCAAACTTCCACACAACATCTATTCTGTGTTTACTAGGTTGTGTTTTTTAAGTAGACTCTTTAACTTTACCAGAGCAACTGAATGTAGGAACCAAGAGTGAATCAAGGCTATGCCCAATCAGGGGACCTGATTTCTGGACAAGACATCTGGTTCAGCATCTCCTTCACGGATGGGGACTCAAGCACAAGGCTCGACCACAGAGGTTCCGCCATTCCCTCAGCAGCCATCGCAATTGGTAACGGCAGAGCCTAAGCGGAAAATGCGAGACTCTTGTCTCCTGCTTCAAACCATTCCCCGTCCTATGCTGTCCCCGGTGTTTCTATCATAAGGACCCCAAGAGGAATGAACTTGAAAAGCGTGTCACGATAAAACAATGGCCAAATGCTTCTGCTCAGTTGCTGAAACATGACGAAATCACCCACAAGCCATGAGGTAGCAGCGTGCACTACTTAAATAAGTACTTAAGGACACTCACACTCTCCAGCAAACAAGGATAAATTTCAGTCTCAGTCACACCCTACGTTAGGTAAGGAAAGCTGACTAGACCAGGAAGGTTGTCTTAATGTCTTTAGCTCTTCACAGTCTCCTGGGTACAGATGATTTACTTTAAACCTAATTGTCTTTTCATTATTCTCATTTACTGCCTCCCCTCAGCTTCTAAACCACCTTCTCTTCCCAACAAATCCCCCTCATACTTTCATAGTGTGTGTGTGTGTGTGTGTGTGTGTGTGTGTGTGTGTGTGTGTGTGCGCAAATATGTATGATATGTGTGCATGTGTATGTTCTTGCATTTAATTCTGACTATTTGCATGAGTCTGCATCAAGGGTTATTTTCATGATCAAGGGCAATTTGACAGTGAGATGCTATGTGACTGAGAAATAGGACACCCCTCCTCCAGCAAACTGCTTAGAGCTCCTTGGACAAGGGTGTGGCTGGCCTTACAGGTTCCTCCCCTCTCTATGACAGAATGTTAATGAGGCTGGATTCCTCCAGGTCTTGGATAGGGAACACTTCTGTTGTGAGTTCATAGATCCAAGAGCCATGGCAAGCCCAGAAGACTACATTTCACAACACTCTTCCCCATCCTCCAGCTCTTCCATCCTTTCTGCTCCCACTTCTGCTATGTTCTCTGCGCTGTGGGGAATTGTGATATGTGTCCCACTCAGCTGTCACATTTTTTTTTCAGCAGTTTGACAAGTTATGATTCTCTGCCTTAATAATTACCTACTTCAGAGGGAAATTTTTCTGATCAACTCTGAGAACGAGATTTTGATGTGGATTGATCTACATGGGAAAGTGATTGGCTGTTCTATCTACTTCTGCCCACCTATCCATTTTTACCATGCCAGAACAACAAATATGTCTCCCTTGCCTATTTCCTTGCATATCCCGCCATGTGTGGCCTTATATTTACAGCCAGGCACAGTATACACAATATGGGTCCTCTGAAAGTCTAAATAGAGAAGAAAAGCACTCTTACTTAGGGTTTCTATTGCTATGAAGAGACACCATGACAGCAGCAACTCTTCTAAAAGAAAACGTTTAATTGAAGTGGCAGCTCACAGTTTCAGAAGTTTAGTTCATTATTATCATCATGGGGAGCATGGTGGTGTCCAGGCAGACATGGTACTGGCTACATCTTGATCAGAAGGCAACAGGAAGTGGACTGAAGGTCACACTGAGCAGAGCTGGAGTACAAGAGACCTCAAAGCCAACCCCCACCATAACATACTTCCTTCAGCAAGGCCACACCTCCTAATAGTGCCACTCCCTATAATCTTATGGAGGCCAGTTACACTCAAACTACCACAAAGTAAAACCTTAAACTCTTATTATCTTAATTAGTTAGCAATTTTAATTTGGAGCAGATATGTGTTTGGTAAAAATAGAAAGTATGGGGTTGGGGCGGGACAATCATAGGAATCAAGAAAACTGTCTCCAAACAGTTAAGCATTCTAAATATGATTGCATGTGTTCTGTTGTTTCCAACCCTGTTAAAATTACCGAAAAACAAATAAATAAATGACCAATAAGCAAAAAAATCCACACTTACGTCTGTCTGCTGCCTCTTAAATGATAAAGCATTTGATCATTTGAAATCACCAACTTCCTGTCCGATAGCTTTTCATAGTGCTGATATTTCATAATGAGGGGTTGATGTGTAAACTCCCATGCAATTTCAGACTGCATAAGGAGATTCTCAATCTTTAAATTATAATCAGGATTCAGTGATATGGCTCTCTTCAGGAAACCTGAAGCACCTTGTAATTCATTCAGAAACATCAAAAGAACCCACCAGGTCATTAATCCAGAGGAACACGATAGCAAGACAACCTAACGCCAAATGTCAAAGAAGGTCATTGTTTTAACTTTGGTGTTGAGCAAAAAACTGGAACAAATCATCTGCTAAGAACAGGGGTCCTTTAATCAGGAGCCAACAAATGAGGAGAAAAGCCTCAGTGATGAGAAAGAAATTCTTAGAGATTGTGGAGCGATAGGAGCAGTCCGGAGGGACCTGGTTGGCACATCACTTGCTTGAAGAGTTTACTGGTTAGAAAAAAATGAAATGATGGAATTTCTACACAGTTAGACCAGGAATTCTTTGGTGGCATAACCCACCTCAATGTCACCCTATTCAGCTCCCAAACTAATACTCCCCCACAAAAGGAAGTGATTGCATGGGCTCCTGAGCAAATGACTAGTTAGCAATAATAAGATATCGCTGGTAAATATGAGTGTGCCCACCTTTCATGTATAACAAAGTCGTATTGGTTACTTTTCTGTTGACATCATAAAACACCACTACCAAGGCAACCTAGAGAGGAAAGAATGTATTTGGGCTTACAGTTCCAGAGTGTTAGAGTTCAAAATGGCTGGGACAGCACTGTAGCAAGCAGTGAGCAAGATGGCAGGAACAGGAAGCTGAGAACTCACATCTTAAACAACATCCAGGGGACTGGATGGGTCATGAATCTTATAACTCTTAAAACCCTTCTCCAGTGATGTATAGCCTCCAACAAGGCTGCACCTCCTAACTCCTCCCAAACAGCACCACCTACTGGACAGCAAGTGGTCAAGCATCAGCACCTATGAGGGACATTCTCATTCAAATCACCACAAAAAAAAAAAAAAGAAAATTTTTAAAAAGTCACCTCAAAACTTATATGATATCTATCAATAATTTGACAACTGTGTATATGTATAAGTAAATAATATGTTTACACCAGCTGGGCATTCTCTGATCATTGTGGAGGTAAGCAACTGCACATTTGCCTCAGTTGTCTAAAATATCTTCCTAGAGGGTAGATGATCCCATGATTGGAAAACTGGGCTTCAGATACTCCAGGCTGCTTTTACTAACACACAAGAAGGTAGGGTGTGTGTAGCATGAATTCTAACTGATCTTAATAATAAAAACTGAGTCAGATATCAGTGTAAATGCTAAGAGACCAGAGAAATAAAGGAGTCAGCCACTAGAGAAACTTCTTACCTCTACCAAATCCTCCTGTCTTCACCCCACCTTATCACTTCCTCTCTTCACCCAGCCATATCACTTCCTGTTTCCTCCTCCCAAATTCTGGGCTTTGCACTCTGATCTCCAGGCAAGCTTTATTTGTGAGAGCACAAACAAAATATCACCACAGGTGTGCCTCCAGGAAATAGAGACAAGGTCCAGCCTTCCCTGGTTTGGAGTGTCCCCCAGGACTCTCTTGGGGTGATAATTCTCTGACACATATCAGCCATGCTGGAGCTGCATTGTCAAGTCCTACTTGGCTGATACACAAGAGGAACAAGATGACCCCAACCATTCTGATCCATCTTTCTAACAAAAAGCTTGCTTAAAGTATCTGAGAAATCTCTTTATGGCTGCTTAGGGAAGAGTTTTATCTATATGATGGTAAAGACAGGAGCATTCAAGTATAAGTGACCCGTTTCCCATGTCATAAGCCTTTAAAGTTTGGAACATTTCCATATCAACTTCTTTTAATAGCTCACTTGTTTTAATCAGACTTTCTAAACATGAGAAATAATTAGAGGCCAGTTTCTAAAATGTAGCTTGAGGATTGTCTTTTACCACTATCTATAATACCCCAGTTCTGATCTGTCTTAGTTAGGATTTATATTGCTGTGAAGGGACACCATGACCATATCAACTTTTATAAAGGAAAATATTTATTGGGTGACTTACAATTTCAGAGGTTTAGTCCAATATCATCATTGTGGGACATGATGGAGTGCAGGCAGACATGGTGTTGGAGAAGGAGCTAAGAGTGAAGGAGGGGTTACATTTTGATTCTGCAGGCAAGAGGAAGTGGTCTGAGGCATTGGGTGTGGCTTGAGCATACATGAAACCTCAACACTCACCCCCACAGTGACACACTTCCTCTAACAAGGCCATACCTTCTCCAACAAAGCCACACCTGCTAATAGTGCCACTCCCATGACCTTATAGGAGCCAATTACATTCAAACTACCACATGATCTCAATCGCAAGTATGAAATATCTCTATCCTGTACCACTTTCCTTCCTGTCCATCATTTAGCTGGCCTATGACAGTAAAGCACTATCATTTTCAATGCTAAGTTTAACTTGTTTTCTATGCTTTTTCAGGTCTTCCATCAAATTACTCTTGCCCATTCAACTTTTTGTCCTACTATTTTCTTAGGAAAGAATGCTTTTACATTTCTTTTCCCTTGTTATTTTTGTTTATTTTCTACCAATGCTGGGAATCAAACCCAGGGCCTTGCACATGCCAGGCAGGTGCTCTACCACTGAGCTACAGACCCAGTACTTTTCCCTTGTTATTTTTATCTGTAACTCAGTAATAAAGCACAGAGTAATACCAGCTTTTCCAAATTCCAAAGGCCTTCACAAGAACCAAATAAGAAAACATATACATAATTATAGGATTAAAAGATTACAATGGTATAAATCATGATATAACACTGAGATATTTTTATACTGTTTCTGTTTGGTCTGTATGGATGCAGAAAATTGAGCTTTTCATGTTATGAATGCCATATTCTCCCCACCCCCCACACATTTTAAATCAGAATTTCCTCCATTTCTAAATCCTTTGACCTTTTTTTTTCAAGCCAGCCTGATTCTATCAAACATTTCTCTTGCTAACAGAACCTATATGACTTTGAGTCAGTAACCTATATAACTTTGAGTCAGAAATAATCCTGAGATCCTCCTAAACTAGACACCAGGTTTAGAGAGAAAACTTGTTTGTAGAAGATAACACGGGAACAACAGAAACAGTATGAAGCCCGGATCTGCTTTGGACCCTCTGCCATCACCAGGAAAGAGATTTAGCTTATTGAGTAGAATTGAGAGAAATGGCTTCTTCCCGCATTCTCTACTCTGCTGCATTTGCTAACCTTTGGGAGTTTCTGTTTTTTTGAGATTTTTAAGTTGCAGTAAGTAACAGAGATTCAGGAGAACAGGGAAGGTCTGATCTCAACAGGTAACCTCAAACTAATTTCTTAAATAAGTGCCGACTTTCAGAGCCTGGTAGAAGTTTGAAGCTCCTCTACTCAATGTTTTCCAGCTGTTTGGTTGTTTGGGGTTTTGGTTTTCTTTTGTCATTGTTTTGGCTTTTTTTGGCTGAGGGAAGCTTTGGATTTCTGTCACTCACAGTCCTTTTTTTTTTTTTTTTGGTTTTTTGAGACAGGGTTTCTCTGTGTAACTTTGACTCTCTCTGTAGACCAGGCTGGCCTTGAACTCCCACAGATCTGCTTGCCTCTGCCTCCCAAGTGCTGGGATTAAAAGTGTGCACCACCACCCGGCTCCATGGTCTTTCTTGATGGCTCATTTTTCTCAGATATGATTTGGGCACCAGCTTGATATGAAGAAAACGTTGTTGTAGAAAATCTGTAGTCTCTATTAACTGTCCTCAAGGGTTTAAGAAGTAGCCCTTTCACCTCCTCTTGTACCTGTGAACATGTGTGAGGGAGTTCTCATTCTGTGATACATTTCCTTTCTTTTTTTTTTTTTAATTCTTGGTACTGTAGTATAAGTGATTTTCTTTTCTTTTTTTACTTTATAATTTAATTTTACATATCAGCCATGGATTCCCCTGTCCTCCCTCCCCCCACCCCTACCCCCCACCCCGCCCTCCCCTCAACCCACCCCTCATTCCCATCTCCTCCAGGGCAGGGACTCCCCTGGGGATTCGGTTCAACCTGGTAGATTCAGTCGAGGCAGGTCCAGTTCCTTTCTAAACCCATATGCTCTCTTTTTCCAATCTCTGGTTTGGCAGAGGGATCATGGAAGACCATGGAAAAGTCAGCAACTGTTTGTAATGTTGTGTTAATGCACTGATTAAAAAAAACATATCTGTCTCTTGTGATGTTTAAATATCTTGGGGGCTGTTGTTGACTGAAGGGGAAGGCTAGCTTGTTGTCAAGACAGCAAATGGCTTATTTGGCAGTACATCTTCCACATTCAAGGCAAACTCACTAATCCACGGCTGACACCCCACCTATCTCCTTAGCAAACTTCCATACACCAAGTATTTGCCCTTCTCTGAGTCCCCCAGAGCTAGGGGAAAGACAACCCAGGACAACCTCTGTGTGGACTACTGACTTATTAGGATTGCTCATGAGCTTAAGCTTTCTGCCCTTCCTTAACCTTTTCTAAAAAAACAAAAAGTGTCATGCCTAGGCCTTCCCTCTCATACCTGCTTCTGCCTCGTGAATAAAATGATGTTCCTCTTGGCATGTGGCCCTCTATGGGATGGCAGGTCCTCTTCCTTCAGGAAATGAACAAATAAATCTCTGGGATTTATGGGAGTAATAAAATCTCTGGCAATGGCACTAGCCCCTATATCATCAATTGGTTTCAACTGTATTAATTAATGCCCAGGTATAATTTTTACACAATTGTGATGCCCCCTGTGGAGATCCGCTCATAGGCATTTTGGTACTCAGTGTAGATCAGTTGAAATTTCAATTTTACCAGCCTTTCTGCATGAATAATGGGACTTTAAATAGAACAAAGATTCAAGGTTCCATATGTGCACAAGAAGTGTTCTTGGGGTGTGTTTATTCATTCAAAAACTGTTCAATTGATACTGTGTATGTCTGCCAGTTTACAGGGACATAGACATGTAGCAACCCCTACCACCCACAAGTTTAATATTTGAACCAGATGCAACTGATGACGTAAAATCAGTGCCTGGGCATAGATTGTTACTGTGACCTGGAGGTAGGAAGCTGCCACCGGACTGTCAACACTGTACTTGTTAGTTAGCTAGCAAAAGAACACCGTGTCTACAGATGCAAGCTAAGCCAAAGCCACAGTCATACTATCGTGACTCTGAGGCTTTAGGGTGAGAGCATTTGCCCAAATGCCACTTCAAAGAAATGCAGTCTGAAATCAAGCTGCCATTTTGAAGAAGAGCTAGAAAGTAGGGAATAAAGGTGAAATTTAAAGAACATAAAGACTAGAGATGGTTAATGAGAGATTTGGAGGAGTTAATGGGGAACAGAGCCAGTGGAAAGTTGTCTAAATGAAAACCCAGGTGGACATGGAGCTTTTTATCTGGCTCTCAGCAATCTGGGCATATTCAGAGGACAGTTAATGGAATAGACATTACCCCAACATATCATGCAAACACAAAAGCAGGTACTATGTGAGATGTTTTTGACTCTGCCACGGTTCCAGTAGTCTTAACAGAGTTAAGAAGACCGATTTCCTCTTCTCTTTCAGATAAGCATAGCAATATAGAATTCTGGAATTTAAATGATCAAATCACTACCTAACAGAAAGGAAGAAGTTAAAAATGCTCAGAAGGAAGGATGATGAGCACAAGAGGACCACAGTTCAATGGGACTTTTCCACAGGAAGAAGAAGTAAGAGTCAATACTCTTCCAGGAGGTAGACACTACAGGTTTGCTCACCTGGCCTACAGGTATACCTAAAGCTCATGAGATCATCATCCTTTTCTGGAGACAGAATCCATACTGCCTTGAGTCCTAAACCATGAAACATGACACCACCTCTGGAAATGTAGAGGGCGGCCTAAGACATCTCACTTCCTGATGGTTGATGGAACAGTGCAGACATTAGTGCTACCTTCACAGAACAGCCCTTGATCACAGCCCTTGATCTCCAGCACAACAGTGCTGTTGGTTTACTTCAGAATAAGATGAAAACTGACACATAATATTGTTGTTCTATCTTTCTTCTCATGCAAATAAAACTATGGATCAACTCGAGTCTAAGCAGCAGAGTTCTTGGGTAGTTGGTATAGATCAAAAGAACAGAACCCATTGGGAGCAGTAGGGTATATGAAGCTAAAGGAAATTAGATTAAACACATATCTTAAGGAAGTCAAGTCATAAATAAGGGTTATGATCTAAAATCTTATCTTGTGTAGACAGACCCAAAGGAAATGCCTACACAAGAAGTAGAGCCAGAGGGGAAGGCCAGCAGTCCCTTGCCCTCCATAATGTCAAGAGATGGAGATATTTCTTTTTCTAACTTCCTGCCTCCCTCAGGCTGACATCCTGGTTTTCACCAGTAAGACTTGCCTTTGCTTCTTTTGCTTCTAAAACCTCTATTTACCTGAAGAAAAGTTAATTGTGGGAGATGACTATGGATACAATTTGAATATAAAATGTCCCCACATGCCCATGGGTTGAATACTTTGACCCATCTGGCGATGCTGTTTGGGGAAATGATGGAAACATTAGGAGGCGGGACATACCTGGAGGAAGTAAATCACTGCAGACTTGTCTATGAAGGGTCTTTCTTTTTCCTACATCCTTCCTCTTGTGCTTGGTTGCCTTGAGGTAAGCTGCTACGCTCATCAGCCTGCTCTCTGACATGATAAAGCAATGGAGCCAGACAACCAGAGACTGAAACCTTCATAGGCTAAAAGAAATCCTTCCTCACTTAAGTAATTTGTCTTAGGTATTTTGTCAGTGACATAAAAACTCACACATGTACATGCTATTCACACAAGTCTAATGATTGCATCATATCCTAGAATCCACTGAAGGCATTCTTTAGATAATCTCTTGAAGCTGAGGAATTATAATCAAGAAGTATTATAGATGCTAGAGAGATGATTCAGTGGTTAAGAGTACTTGTTGCCCTTGCAGAGGACCCAAGTGTGACTCCCAGAACCCAAGTGGTGGCTCATAACCATCTGTAACTCCAGTTTCAAAGGATCTAATACCCTGTGCTGGCCTCCATAGACATTGTACACATGTGGTACATAGACATACATGCAGAAAAAAAGCACCCATATAAATAAAATAATAATTAAAAAGAGAAATATTCAGGACCATTTTCAGTATAATATTCCAATTCTCGTAACATTCTGTTTCTCCACTAGAGAATGCAAGGCACATCATTTTGGTCAGTACTTACTTTCAGAACAAATTTTGTATCTGAGACATAGGGCTGAAGTGGTTTCTAATTTAAAATTAGATGGTGAGGAAAAGAAATCTGGATACTATTAAAAATTATACCTGTATCATGCTAAAAAGGATTTTTCAGCAATTGTCAAGCCAACACATCATACTGCCAAAGCCATAAACTGCTTCCAGAAACAGATGGGATTTATATCGCAGACTCTAACACCTCATGGGAGGGATCTTTGAGTCAATTAACCCCTTGGCAACAGTATCTAATCTGGAGGGGTATGAACACAAAGTCCAAAGATATTTTATCTACACTTCTAGTAGATAATATTGTGTGGCACCTCCTCTGAGGCAAGGCACCCTGGAGTCAGAGCAGTTGGCAAAGTTTAACGATGTCTCCTCAAAATGCAGGCTCTCTCTTCACATACTCTCAAGGGCATCTTCTGAACATACTGACCATGCAGGTATTTTGCCACAGCTGGATGCATCATGCAGCCTCTTTGAGATTCCCGATGTAAATGTCAAGCCCAGAATTAAGAAAGAAAAGAAAATAGACTGCAAAAATGTCAGTATGTGATGAACTAGTACTGATATTTCAAATGGCAGACACTGAAGAACTGGTTCCTCTATAAAATGTGTCAATGTAATTTTGATATCTGCAATCAGTTTCAGGAACAACATCAGGAAGAACTGTGGTAATAAAAATTTATAATTCTTGTGGGGAGCATTGTCTGCCAACGTAGCTTAATTTTCTTTAAGGTACTTGAGTGTGTGTGTGTGTGTGTGTGTGTGTGTGTGTGTGTGTGTGTCCCTGTCCCCATACAAGGCATAAGAAACCTTGGTTAGGATAGTCCAAGTGATTGCAAAAATAGTATAGATTATAGATGTGCCCTGAGTTGCTTTTCAGGGGTTGGTGGAGAGTGGGCTCTTACTGCTGAGGATAACACACACTTAGAGCACAGGACTCAGATGGCTCAAGCTGAATCTGACCACAAAGTCACTTTTCTGCAGTTTAGCTTTCATGGTTCCAGAACATTCTATGCAAGCTGCCAAGGGAGGGAAGTGGCTAAACTGTCCTACCCCTCTGGGACAACTATGAACCACAATAAGTACCAGCATGACAAGACATTTATCCAGGTGCAATCAGTGGCACTCACGTGTCAGTGGCCACCAACATCTGTCTAAGTGGACTTAAGACTCACCCAACAGGAGAAAAATCATGCCTGGTACCAGAAACGTAGCCAGCTTCCCAAGGCTAGTGAGGTTATGGGCTTTAGAAAAGAATCTACTACCACCACTTTGCTAGACCAGCATACTTCCTTACATCCTAAATCTGATCCGCGTACCCACAGATAAGTGTAAGTATCAGCCCTCATCAAAGAAGCCTCTTTTTACGGCAAATAGAGACCATCACAGAAAAACACAACCGGACAGCATGCAGACATCAATGGACTATGGGGATCCCAGCCCCTACACATTTATGTATCTCACAACTCCTACATATATTACTCAGTGAACAAGGAGGAAGAGGAGAGCAGAGAGGTTATGAGGGCCAGACTACCAGGAGGCCTGTTATAAAACAGCCTGGACATGGCTGCATAAACAAGACCAGGACAGTGGCCATGTCAATAGATATTTTAATGTGGAAGGTGAAAATTTTGAGGGGTCTCACCCTAGATAAAGAATTAAAGGCAACTAATGATTGGTGGGAGAAGGAAAATTAGCCTCTTCCAAGAATGAGCCCCCTCATTGGCTGTCCAATGCACAGTAGACAGCCCTGAAACTATATCCACGAGCAACGATGGACTCAGCAGGTCGTGTGTGTGTGTGTGTGTGTGTGTGTGTGTGTGTGTGTGTGTGTGTGTTTGTGTATACACAGATGTACACACACACAGTGTACATGTATGCAACACTAATAACCAAAGACAAAGAGGCTATCATCTTGAAGGTGGAGGTGGCATGGAAGGAGGTGGAGGGGGTAGCTGGGAGGGGCTGGAGGGAGAAAGACAGGAAGGAAGTGGTGCAACTCCATTTCAACTAAAAAGATATTCAAAACCAGTAAGTTTCAACCAGCCATGGGGGTGATAGATAGACCCACTTTTCAGAGAGGAAAACTGAGACTAAAGAGACCACCGGCTTTACTGCAGACTCACTGCACACTGACTGGGCACTCCCACGATCTCTCCTGTATCAGATGTTGGCACGACTAGGTACTATGTGAGGTAGAGAACCTTAGCAGTTTTACTGAATTGAAATTTCTTTATCACAGTGGTGTCTTCAAAGAGTTTGTAAGGAGCGTAAAGAAGTCGCATGACTAAGTAAACAAAATTAAAGTGGGTAATCAAAGACAGTCTAGTCTCAGGTTTGTTTTACCAAGCTGATGGAAAGCACGGTGGTAGGAAGGCGACGCAGGTGGGAACCCTGCTTGGTAAGGGCAAATTGTGTGGCTGTTCAGAGTTTGACCCTGGGCAGTGACAGCATCAGTGCTTATCAGTCAAGAGATTTCAAGCAAGTACCAAAACCCACGCCTCCATCTCCTATTCTCTGTGTTGAGGGCGGTGATAATGTATCTCACTGCCGTCATCACTTGAGTTGAAAGAGTCAGCATCTGTAAAGCCATAATGCCTATTCTACATAACCACCACGGAAGTGTTGGCCATTATTTTTGAACATGGTGTAAGATAGCCATTTCTTGAAATTTCCAATGTTTTAGAATGTATACAATTTGAAGAGGGGAAAAAAATGAGAATAATAAAAAGTGGCCGGCAACAGATAATCCATCGTAGCTCATTGAACCGACAGTCCTGTCCCTAAGAGTCAGGTCTTCTTTATAACTCTCGGTTGCCAGCTCCTTGGGAGATCTGTCTTGCTGACAGGTTGCTGCCTTGTTTGCTGAAGGAGAGCTGTGTGAATTATAGCTATCATGAAATCGCCGCTGAAACCTGAGCAGTTGTTTGAACAAATATGCAAGGTATCCAAGATTCCTTAAAGGGACAAGGTCCATCTTGAAACCATTGAACAAAAGCAACAAACACTCACTTGCAGGTAACCTTGTACAGCTTAGACAGCGGGTGAATTAATCAAGCCTTCCTCGGTCGGAGTCGCTCATCATACAGCTCTGAGCAGCTTGCTTTGGGTTATTAGTCTTACCATAAAAAAAAAAAAAAAGCGTTTACCCCAAAGTTAACGAAACATGGCACACGGCAGACAACTGGGAACACATACAGAAAGCAGGACTGTGTTTCCAACCAGATGCTTCCCAAAGTATGTGGCAAACGCTCTGAAGAGTCCTGTACAAATTTCAAGAGCCACTCTTCAAGATTAAGGGACGCGCAGGAGGGATACAGACAAAGAGCAGATGGTGTGCTCGACTTGTCTAAGATTTTGAAAGAAGAGATGTTACAACGTGATAAAGTGGTGGCAGTTGATGTGTATTTCAGGCAGCACCCAGACATACATGTCTTGTTGCTATGAGCTGCCCCCGAGTCTTCACTACTCAAATAACATCAACTTTCTGTGGTGAGCCGGAAACACGGCATACATTATGATATGTCAATGCTACAAATTGCAATTTAAGATTCCCAGCTCGTCCGTGACTAGGAATTGGGCTATGGTTATTTTCTAATCAGCATTAGCATATTTTGCAATATAAACCAGTCTCTTTAGTTCAGCCGTTTGACTTCTTTATAGTACGTTAACAACTCTCACGGCGGAGGAAAACACACTAGCATGCTTTGTGTTCGCATGCTGACTCTGCTTTCTGACTACTACTACTCACAATGCACCCAGCTAAATGTCATGGGGATTCACAGACCTTGACACTAACCATGAAGTGACAACCCT